GGCAGGCGTTCCTAACGGAGTTCCAGGCGATGCGCCTTGTTTGCTTTTGCGTTTGTGACTCATCTTTCCTATATTCTTTGGCAGGCGTTCCTCAAGGAGTTCCAGGCGATGCAGAGCAACATGTCGAGGATGGGCAAGCAGATGGCCGACGGCGACCCCAACGCCGGCCCCGGGGGGCAGCCTTCCCCCTTCCAAGGCCTCGGGGGGGACACTGCTCCGGGAGCCGCTCCGTCGATGAACAGGCGAGCTATGCTGTGCAGCCCTTGTAGTGTTTGTTAGGTAGAAGCTGTGTACTCATTAGACTTGACTCTGTCAGCTCGCCTTCGATGAACAGGCAAGCTATCTGTGAGCCCTACAGTAGTCGTGTTTGATGCTTCGAAGTTGATAGGAGGTGTGTTGCCATTAGACTACTCAGTCAGCGCGCCTTCGATGAACAGGCGAGCTATGTAGCCCTAGTTGTGTTTGTTAAATAACGGCGTGTGACCAATAGACTTAACTCCTTCAGCGCGCCTTCTGTTAACTGGCAAGCTGTGCATATGTAACCGTCGTTGTTTTAGTTGGATAAAAGGTGTGTAACCATTAGACAGCACCGTCAGCGTGCCTTCAACCAACCGGCGAGCTATGTACATAGCCCATATTGTGATTGTCAGACGAAAGACGTGTAACCGTTATTTAGACTACTCAGTCAGTGCGCCTTCGAAGAACAGGCGAGCTATGTAGCCCTTGTTGTGTTCGTTAGAGAAAGGTGTGCAACCATTGGACTACTCAGTCACTGCACTTTCCGTGGACAGTCAAGCTATGTAGCCCTAGTCGTGTTTGTTACCTCGAAGTGGATAGAGGTGTGGTACCATTGGACTACTCAGTCACTGCACCTTCCGTGGACAGGCAAGCTATGTAGCCCTAGTCGTGTTTGTTACTTCGAAGTGGATAAAGGTGTGGTACCATTGGACCACTCAGTCAGCGCGCCTTTGATCAAGAGGCGAGTAGTATAGCCCTGGTTTTTGTCAGATTCAGGCGTACCCGTTATCTTGTTTTTGTCTATTGGAATAGCCTTTATCTAAGGTATATGTTCTTTGGTGCCCAAGCTTCTTGTGTTTGGGTGTGTAACGTTGAGCATGAAGTTGTTGGCTGCCTTTCGAGTCACAAGTGCGGAAGCTCTCTGCAGCAGGCATACCATAAGCGGTGCCGCTGCTGCTGTGAGAGATGCCGTCTATTCGGTACAGCCGACCACACCCTAAATCCAAGAAATTTTCTCTGCAGGCGCTATTTAGCTGTTGTGTGTGTGTGTGGCTTTGTTATTAGCATCGACCGCGCTAACCGGCTGACCAATGAAAAGACGTCACTCCCGGTGCGAGTGAAAACCAAGAACACTTCTACTAAATGTCATTAACTGGGACCCCGTGAAGGGGCGGCATGAGAGAGGCTAACCTATTCTCCGGATCAAAGACAGAAACGGTAACAACAGAAGAAAACTGCACACGTCTACGAAGGCTGCTACCTTGCGGTCGATTTCGTTTTGGCATGCTTTCACCATCATCCTCCTTGCTCTCACTGCCATCACTCTCATCGTCATTTTCACAGCAACTTCTCGACATTTCCTCTCTAGCCCTGCGTCGTTTGTGGTGGGGAAGGTAATCTGGCTCGAAACTCTTGCTCTCTTCCACGCCATTATTCCCTCCTCGACTGCTGCTCTGGTCTCTGTCTCATCCTCCTCGATCGCTGCCAAACGAGTTCCCGTCATTGCCATCCTGGTCGTTTCTAGCTGCACTACTACCGAGATCCCAACCTATTGGCCGTGGTGGGAACTGATCAAGAAGTAGTCCGTGACGTTTAAAAACATCACGAGTTATGTGTGTGTATGTTTTTTTGCCCTTTCCTTGTTCCTGTTACGAACGGCTTCACGTGATCCCTCTGAAGCTGTGTCATGTGCGTTCGGCGTTCTGCCGTATCTATTGCAAACCCTTCCCCCCCGATAAGGGGAGAGGTTATCACAAGTGGTCAGGGAGGGGCGAAGAGAGTAGTTCGGTTGACTCACGCTGCGGCGAAGGTGGTGGTACAATGGGATTGGTGTGTTCTCGTGTGCCGAGCGGGGATCGGGGATGAGTTGAGCTGCTGTAGGTGTGGATCAGCGTCACGGATTTCCTTCATCGACACGAGCCATCTGAGATCCCGTATGACCCAATTTGTTTTCCTGTCTTGTCTCTCGTCCACGTTGTTGATCAGCGTCACGGATTCGTTCTTGCCGACACGGTACCTGATCCTCACATGACCCAATTGTTCACCTGTTTTTCTCTTCCATGGTGTTGATCGACGTGACGGCTTTGCTCACGCCGACACTAAGTAAATCTGATCCCCACATGACCCAATTGTTTTTCCTGTTTCTCTTCCTTGCTGTCAATCAGCGTCGCGGATTCGTTCATGCGAAAACGGTATGTGATCCCCACGCATGACCCGATTGTTTTTTCCTTTTTCTCTTCCTTGCTGCCAATCAGCGTCGCGGATATTCGTTCATGCGACAACGATAATAATGTGTGATCCCCACGTGACCCGATTTTTTTTCCTGTTTCTCTCTCGTCCATGCTGTTTGTTTGTGTCCTTTTTTTTTCTTGTTCTCAGGCAGCAGCGAAGACAATCCAAGAAGAACAAGGCAGGACGTTCCGCTGCCCCCTCGAAGGGCTTCGGATAACATTAATAATGAATACCGTAGGTAGATAGATGTCTCTTAGAATGGGCTTGGGGGGCGCTGTCAATTGTTTGCGAACATATCGTACCGTGTTGTGTTGTGTTCGCCCGCAAATGTTATGCTTTGTTTTGGAGATTCTTGCCGTTTCGAGGGAGGAGGTTGCGCCGCAACGGAACACAAAAAATAGAGATTGTTGTTCCGTTTCGGGGAGATTGCACCGCATCAGATACTGCTCCGCATCGGAACACAGAATAGAGATTGTTGTTCCCTTTCGGGGAGATTGTGGATGCATGCGTGCTTTTCGGAGAGGTTTTGCTCCTGCTGGGAGACACTTGATAAGTCATCTCCGGCACTTCGGAACTTGATAGTTCATGAAGAAATCGATGGCCTCGAAAAACTCAGAAACTAACAACTTCGACCACCATTTGTGGGCTCGGGTTAATTACATAGTCTAACCCCTTCACCACTAACCGTTGTTGTAGCTTGCCATCATTGGTAGCCTACGAGAGGCGCCAAGAACCAACCCCAGCCTCGGCCAATTAAAACTACATGTAGAGGGTCTTGAGCAATTCATAACTTGGCAGTTATTTATTGAAGAAATCGATATTTTTAAGCAGGCGAGCGGGTGGATCTCGCGGCAAATACATGCCT